AAAAAAAAAAAAAAAAAAAAAAAATGTGACTCCCAGTTATGTGTCAACCGGTGTAAACGTGCTAAGCTCGAGCTCGACTCGCTAACTCGCTGAGCTTATAATCAAATTCGAGTTTGGCTTGCTTATCAGTATTAACGAGTCAAATCGAGCCGAACAGTAGAAAAATACATAAAAATCATCTTTTAAAGTCTTATCGAGCTCAAATGAGTTTTGACTTGCCTCGTTTATCAAACGAGCCGTGCCGAGCTCACGAGCAGCTCGTTTAATTTAACACCTCTTTATGTGACCTTTCTTTAGCTGCCTAAATAACATTAACAGCAAAAATTCAGTAATTATGACAAAAATCAAATAGAAATATTTTACCCTATCCCATGTTATTTTTTTTTTTAAAAAAAAAAACACATACTTTCATTGTCATTTTCCATCAATTTTGTGTAAATGCAATGAAATTCCTACTGAAAATTCAGGTCACCCGAACACAAACGGGTCGGACCGAAATTCGGGTTGCCTTTTCCACTACTTAAATGGCCATAGGTTGACGAGCCGCTCCAAAACCGCGGCCTTGGAGAAATAGCCGGCGAACCCCTGAGGAGTGGCGGGCGGCGGGAAGTCCTCGGCTGGCATTGCAAACGAGCGTATCATCTTCTCCATCATCTCCAACGTCAGATACGACCCAACTTCTTGCAGCCTCTCGGGCCCCATTATCGGCAGCGTGTGCTCCTGATGCAATGATGCTGCCTCACCATCATTCCCCTGCTCGAAAAATTAAAAATGTCGCGTATAATAAAACACCAAATTCTTGTCCGAGTCGGTCTAACCGTCAAACGAGTGAACCTGATGCACTCAATGCATACTTATACTGTCAAATCTCAAATGTATACTTTGTCATATACTTCTATTTAATTTTTTTTTTGGGTAAATTGCAAATTTGGTCCTATTAGATTATGAAGGTAGCAGTTTGGTCCCACTTGAGTGAAATATAACACAATTTAAGTCCTGTAAATTTCAAATTTGCTGCAATTGGCTGTTAAAATTCCCTATTTATATAGTTGGGAAGGATTTTATTAGCAATTTAAATCATTTAATTTAAAATTTTGTTGCAATTTCATTACTCAAGTGGGACCCAAATTGCTACATTCATAATATAATAGTAGGAAAGTGATTAGGCCCGACTAACACAAAAGCTACTCCATAATAAAATGATTAAATCGGCTCATTACCTAAAATGTAAGGTTAACCATGATTTTTGCAACTACTTTCAAAAGATGCATGGTTTATGCATATGTATGATGAAAATTAGATCACCTCTAGAGGGGATAAATCTGCGCCGCGGCTAAAAGTCAGCTCGACGCGAAATCTTTTCGGGTCTTCTAAAGCGACCTGCATTCGAATTCGAATACCCACTTGAGCTACTAAAAAATAATTATAAGAATTTGTAAAGTAACTAAAAAAAAAGGAAAAACTCGTTTAGGTCGAAGAAGAACAAACCGCGGTGTTCTCGAAAAGCCTCAACACAATGTAACTCATGTAGTCGAGCTCCTTTGTCTTGCACAAGCGCTCGAGGGCACTATCACATACGGGGCTCGGTTCTCCTTGAAGAGACTCGTCCAAGTTGCAATAACGGAGAACATTCATCAACGAATGGATATGAGATTCCTTATCATTCAAAAATAAAAAATTTAGAAAGGAAACATGTACCAGACTAGTAGTAATTTGGCAAAAATGCATTTTTAATCCAGTAAGCTTAACGTTATAACAATTTTAGTCTCAAGATTCTAACTTTTCGCCTTTTGGTTTGTGATTTAATATTTTGCTGCAATTTCATTACAACAAAATATTAAAGCATAGTACTGACATTGCACCAAAATTCTAAAATACAGGACTTAAATTGCTAATAAAAAATCTGAAAATATGGGAATTTGTTGCAATTCGAGGACTGAAATTGCAACAAAATATTAAATCACAGGACCAAAAGGCTTTGGAACCTTGGGACTAAAATTGCTATGGCGTTAAACTAGTTGAACTAAAAATGCATTTTTGCCAAGTAAATATAGATACTCACAGACGTGAAATATAATCGAGTCCGAACATGTCGATCTGGTGTCTTAACATTCGCATATCTAACGGATGTCAATAATAAAAATGAAAAAAAAAAATAAATCATTTGTTGATAGTAAGGAAAACGCGTAATTCGTGTGGATCTTTTATCTTTAAAAGAAAAGGACAAGCTATGCGGATGCTTACTTTGGATCCAAACGGTATTTTGGTTCCTTGTCATCGTCATCATCTTGATCGACCGGCAAATCACTGGCAAAGCTACATTTTCTCGAATTTTCAAGTTTGCTCTGGGACTTGGTAAGATAATCTGTATCTTCCTTTAAATTGGTAGAGACAGACGAATTATTAGTAGTGTTATTATTATTATTATTCTCCTGGGCACTCTTCAGTTCTGCCACATTGATTGCTTCTTCACGAGTGTTCCTCAAATCAATCAAGATTTTCCCCAAGAGGCGCCGGGCTATCTGAAATTTCATAAAATAAAGTTGGAACTGAAAAGGGGATATGGATAAATGTCCATTTTTTTTTAATGTGAAGCGAGTTTTTGATGAAAATCGACATTTGGCAAAAAAAAAAAACTAAAAGAAATGCACATTAGGTATAAAGATAGCACTTTATCATACCTTAGATCCGATCTTCAGTTTTTGTTTGGGATTGATTCCATACTCGTTCGGAATAACACCATCTGCAAGTAACTGGAGAGAAAAATGGATCGCATTTAAATTAATTGCATCAGTTTTTTATCATCTAAGCCCCGAAATATAAGCTAACTAATTGTCCGTTTTCTTACCTGAGCTACCTTGAAAAGTTCATACAACCCTTCAAGATTCAAATGTGCGTTATGCAAGAGATCGTACCTGTCAAAATTCACTAGTCAAGTTAAAAATAAATTCAAAATTATGAACTTTATAATTCTGAAATGGTATGGCATTGCTATTTATACTCACTTGCACGAGTCGTAAACATCGGGAATTTGTTTTATATCGAACCTTCTGAAATTTTGCGAGGATATATATATATATATATATATAGTTAGATAACGTGCAAACATGAAGAAAAAAGTATGATTTTTTTTGCATATGAGCTTACTCTTTGCGTTCGTTATACAAATCTCTCTCGAGTTTTCTCCACCGAGCAAACATGAGAAGAAACCCTTCACTACCGCATGGTAGACCTGCGGCTATACGGTCAACGTCTATGTTCGTCTTACCGAGTGCCTTAGCTTGATCGTATGGAGGTATTACATCCGAAACGAGCTCCTCACATTCATCCTTGGCCATTTCTTTCACTTGCTCGGTAACCTTCTTCGTTAGCTTCACCTGTAAAAAAAGAGTGACATTTTTCAGAAATCCACAAAAATAAATAAATGAAGAAAGGAAAGAGACAAAATTCTATTTTAAGTTTTGCTGGTTAAACACCATAGCAATTTTAGTCACAAGGTTCCAACATTTCTTTTTGGTCCTGTGATTTAATATTTTGCTGCAATTTCAGTCCTTACTAATATTGCAATAAGTTCCCAAATTTTCGATTAGCAATTTAAGTCCTATAATTTAAAATTTTGTTGCAATTTAGTCCTGTAATTTAAAATTTTGTTGCAATTTCATTACTCAAAGGAGTGATATTGCAGCAAAATATTAAATCACATGACCAGAAGTCGAAAAGTTGGAATTTCGGGATTAAAGTTGCTATGACGTTAAACCAATAGGACTAAAAATGCATTTTTGCAGAGAAAGAGAATAATACCATTTCCGGTAAAAGTTGAGTTGCATTTGAAGGAACTCCATGCCCGTCAACCATCCAAGGCTTCTCGGGCGGGCCACTGCTTTGAATAATTTTTGCTCCAGAAGTTATAATCTCATTTAGCCTAGCCTGGGTAAAATATATAAATATAATAACAATATAAAATAACCAGAACAAAAGATATAGGTTAAATAATCGCAAGACGAACCGAACCTAACCTTAGCTGCTTCCATCTCAGAACTGGCGTTTTCGAGTCCGTCCAGCATGGAAGAGTCCTTGCTGACTAGTGAAACCTTAAAAAAAAAATACATCGGATATTACAAAAAAAAATGACCTCACATAAAACCGAAAAAAGGTTCAACTCTGCAAGAAGTTTCGTGTTTACAGACCAAAATCGGTGTTAATTGTCCTTCCAAGTCTAGAAGACCTTTAGCGAAGGCAGCTGCTGACATCTGTCAAAATCGATAATCAATAACTAAGTTGAATAATTTGATAGTGTAAAGACATAAAATGAGATAATGAGATGAAGATCGAGATAAAAAGGATCAAAACTTATACTTTCACCCGAGTAATTCAAAAAGAACGAAATTTAACCTGCACACGGCCCTCATCCGAACTGTATATTTTTAAGTCATGACGATATGTGCTGTGTAGGCGGAGAAGGCCAGTGCCTTCACCTGAGACGAGCAAAAAGGAAAAGAGAATAATTAAATAAAAAAAAGTTAAAGTATTAAGAATTATTGAAAAAAGAAAATAGTAGCAACTATGGATATGTTGACACCTTAAAATTGCTCACCTGGATACATATTATTCCGGAAATACCTCCCAAGTTCTTCAGCCTGTTTCCGGAAAGAAATTACGAGCACAGTACAAGTGAAAATTTATCTTAGGTGAATCGCCAAATTTACCGGGTTTTGGTAGTTACAAATAAATATATTAAAATATATCAGAAATTAAATTATGTTGACCTGTTTTCTTCCAGCATGAGTAAGAACACCACCATATTTGAGAACCATTAGTGCCTCGACAGGCTTCTCTTCTTCCCCTTCACCGTTTGCTTTCGGAACTTTGATCCATTTTAATGGCTTGAGCTGTACCTTCCTATAGATTCCGGAGAAATGGCCACCCTGAAGGCCGCAAGCACTAATTTTAGTAGCCAAAACACAACATCGAAACAGCTATGTAAAAAAAATATATTTTCTAAGTGAAAGAAAAACGAAAGGTATAACAAAACTTAGTTCAAACAAGAGAAATAAATGGGTGCACATAGTGATCTCAAAAGTTACAGTTTCAAGGACCAAAACAATTAAATATAAGGAAAAATTATTTAAAACGGACCTCCTCAAGAACAGCTTTCACTTGGCGAAGCTTTTCGGCATGCTCAATGTCTTCAGCATCACTGTCACTCTCAGGACCAGGTCTGCAAGAAAATGTAGATCCTTTAATTGAACTTATTAATACATCTTAATTAATGTTTAAACAAAACAAACCAATTGGATCAAGATTAATTAAAGGGCGTGAGGAATAAATATTAGCTCTTCTTAATAACCTAGTCCGAGGTACTAAAATTCGTGTAGCATCCAATAGATCTTGCAATTGGACCGCACTTTTCAGCTTTGTCTGCAAAAAAGAGCATAAGAATGAATGTTGTTAAACTTAGGCAAAACAATAACAATAAAGTAGAAAATACGAGAATTACTGTCAAACTTAGCCACCTCTGCTCTAGGCCTTCCCCCGTTATATTTTAGCATCAAATTCAGAAGCTTCTCCTCCGTAACTTTCAACTTCACCTTTTGTTTCGGAGTTCTATCTCCACTGAAAAAAAAAATGACGGGGTTCACAAAAGGATAATCAAGAACAAAATAAAAACTAAATGACAGTTAAAAAAAAACAAAAGGTGGAAATATATCTTACTGACGAATAACGGCAATCACACAACGTAACTCCTCAGATTGCCCAAATGTCCCGATTATCCCACTCCCTTGACGTGTTAGTCCTTCATACTGTTGATCGGGTTCTTTGACCTTCCATGGTAAAGTTGGAGGTATTGTTGAAGAAAGATGCGGAGCTTTTGCATCAAGAAACATTTTCCTCAAAACGCAAGCCGCGTCATCGTAATATCTGCATTTTCAATTTTAAGCAACACTTGAGAAAAAAAAAATGAACAAATAGTGGGGTGCGATTTCTTTAATATTGATAATATTGCAGCTATGAATTAAGTCGTATGTTTTTTTTTTTTTTTTTTTCCTATAATGAAACTAAAATATGGACACAAGGAAACAAAAGCAAACCATAAAAATTTGTTTACTTGTAAGAGTTCTTAACAAAGCTCCATCCATTCACGTCACAAACATACGAACGCCCCTCACATCGCAAGAGATCAAAACCACAAACCTAAAACATATTTGCAACAATGTTTCTTATTCACTAAGATCATGCAATAATTAACCAATGATCGGAACAAAAAGGAAGTTTCAACACAATTTAATGGACAAAAGTTGGCGGGGTGTCACTTACAGCTTGCCTAAATGCAATACAAACCTCTCTTCCCATTTCCTTCTCCATAGGAGTAAGAAGTACAGGATATCTGACCTGTAATTGGATAACTCTTAGAGCCAATTGACCAGTTCAAAACTTTAGATGCTCGGGAAAAAAATTGAAAATTGAATAATATAGTTTTAACAGTTAGCAACTAATTTTGGGGTGTGCCGCGAACCTTAATTTTGGGGTGTGCCGCGAACCTTAATTGAAAAAGGATTTTTTTTCATTATGTATAACTTGAGAGGAAAAAAGCAATACATATTCTAATAGGACCGAAATTGCATTTTATCCTACACATTCAGTAGGACCTACAATAGCTTATGGGTCTTTTTGATGTGAGAAAACTGATTAGATACATGAAAGAGTAGTTACTAGTTAGGCATCGATATTTTCATGTTGCATTTGGAATTTCTGTAAGTGTAAGAAAGCCAAAGGGAACGAAATATCATAAAGGGAGATTATAAAGAATATGCTGCAAAAAAACACAAGTGCTTACTTCTTTACCATCAGGATTTCTCATAACAACTCCATCGACCACAGGAGATTTTCTTGCCTCGGCATGGGCATATTCTGGGCCTACTGTATACACCTATTACACAACAAAATCTGCTACTAAAAAACGAGTAATGTAGTATAATGCTAGAATTTCAAAGAAGGGTGAAAAAAAAAATCTCGTTCGAAAAATTAAACAAACCTTCACATCTGTTCCCCCTGTGGGCATGAACTCCTCGTATATGTAAGAGCCTTCACGTCTCACTCGTCTGACCTCTGGATGAAATTCGCTAGATCGATTACCTACCTGAAAACAAGAGAGAGATAAAAGAATAACTTCTAAGTTATTTAAATAAATAAAAAAAAAAGAGTAGAAAATTTGCTTATCATGATTCATGCTCATCAATATGAAACAACTGACACAAACCTGATTATTCATATTTTACTTTTTGGAGGAATATGATTATATTCTAATTAACAAGTAAAGAATTCGCAATCAAATCAAATATTCTTGAATATGATTTAAAAAATTATATATATTTAATACAAACAAAATGACCTCACCTTCCGAAACAACTCCTTCATTCCCCCTCCAGCTGAACTCGGGTAGTATATCATTATACTGTGATCATCACCTTCACAATACGTAAGATGATAATAAATAGGCTTTGCATCACATAGATTCTGGTAAAAAAAAAAAATATTCTCTTTATTTAAATCTTACCATGTATAGGCTTCTCCACAAAGGGCTTCCAGAACCTTCTCCCATGGACCTCAACAAAATCTTCCTCCTCAACAAAATAATCAAGCTCTTGGTTCGGAGATTCCCTGTTAACCAATGCATATCTTGGCACGGGAAGTCCAAACATTTCAAGCCTCTGGTAAATGTCATTAAGAAAAAGTGAGGAAAATACATATGATTAAGAAGTATACATAAATAATATAAGTATCATTGACTACTTTGTGTTTTAGAGACAAATTCTGAGTATAAAATAAGAAATTACTTTCAAGATGGATAGCTAGAGAACCTTGTTAACAACAAATAAACTGAATATCACTATAGGAATCGAAATCAAATGAAAAAATCAGCAAAATCAAGTGGAATCTATAATTAATCCAATTAGACTAAAAGATACAAACCTCATAAACACTTCTCCTGTCGTGAAGAAGGTGTTGCGGGCCCAATTCATTTACGAGGAACGGCCTGTAAAGGCAAACTATTTTAGAGGTAATAAAATTAGTAGCAAAGAGCATATTAGATGAGTACTTAATATAAATACACAAAATGCTAACTTTTTGTTCAGCAAGAATGTTCTCAGACTTTGAACTTACAGAAAAATAAAATTCTTGAAAGCACTCGTGACAATGGTAAAATTTGAATCAAATATGGCAGTCTAATAAATTCAATGCGAATTGAGAAAAAAAAAAAAAAGAAAAAAAAAATAGGCAAAGAAACCTACTGGAATAAATGCTCACTACGAAAAAGTATGCAAAATGAGAATCGAGTGAAGGGCAAAAGCCACAGAAAATCACATATCTGATGCTGCAAAGTATAATTAGTTTCTCTAGATGATATTCGACAAATAAATAAACAAATAAATCGCCTTTTTTGTATGTACCACGGAAAAAATGAAAGGGAAGAAGAACGAACAGAAGAGAAAAATAGGGGGGAAACAAAACAGAAAGGAAAAAGGTCAAACAAGGGAATAAACAGAATATGCAAATGGGAAATTAGAGAAAATAAGCCTCATTCTTTACTTTCTTAGTGCAGCATATGCTTCAGCCTTTTCCAAGGGATAACCGGAGGAATAGAAAGCAATCAAACAGTCACATAAAGGCCATCTGCAATTTCAGCAGATACAAGTCAATCTCCACACACTCAACTACTAAAATCTTGAAATAAATACAAGAACATAACTAAAAGTCTAAAATAAAACTAGAACAAAGGCATTAGAAAAGCAGCAATCATCACAGTCATCGTCATTTTAACTCGGTAAATAAAAATTTTCACCTCTCAATGGGCTCGTCAAGGATCACCTTGTCCCCAAAATGCACTATCTACATCGTTCAAAGTCAAATTTAGCCGTGAAAAACGATAAAAAATCAAAATGACGAGCCATGAATTGAACTTCCAGAAACTTCTACAAATCAGCATTGTAATGAAAATCCATTCCTTTTTCCTCCCCACCATTCCATTCAATGAATTCAATCAATTATCAGAAAACACTGAACTTGGCAAAAATTTATACCTCAAATTCTCCAAATGCCTCTAGTCTCTCCAAGATCTCCAGCATCGGCCTCGAAAATGCCTGTAAAGGGTCCAAAAAAAAAAAATTGAAACCCACCAACAATCACACACAAAAAGATTAAAAATTTAGTATAGCAACTAACCCTATTCCCACTATTACTGCATGGTTCTTTGTCTGAATTGACAAAAAAAAAATAAAAAACGGTAAAAACAAAAGAAACAAAACCTCTGAGCCGCATTTCACCTTCTTTTCCATAACACAAACTCCTATAGTTATTTTCCGGCGAAACCCATCCTCGTCCCCCTCCATTCTACTTCGAAAACTCCGATGATGTCAGAAAAAAAAAAAAAAA